GGCCCTGCGCTTGCAAAAAAAAAAGTTGTTTTGAATTTTGCAGTCATTTATGGTACTTATTCTGCTTGATGCCTTCCCCAAGTTCGTAAGCTGGCTAGGTGAAGTCCACTGACTCTGTCTAATACATGCTTTTGCGGCACTTTCAATCCAAGCGAAGGTGTTTTCGGTGTCAAGACCTCAGAATCACTGCTGCTGCTGATGTACAGTTTCGGACCATACCATGATGTCTTACGATGATTATCTCGTTCTCCATTTTATATCCTTTGTGTTGGCTGCTTCATCCTCGTTTGGGTCTTCGGGCTTTAACTGCGGTCATAGGATCGTTGAACGAGTAGCTCTGGAGCTGCCATGCGTAACGCTTGTCCTGACTTTCGCGACGCTTGGTCACCAAGCAGCGCTTCAAAGTCAAAAGGCACATGCGGACGAGGTATCACATTAATTGTTTTTAGACGCTCAATGCTGGTGGCCCGAGAGTTTTGTTCCATCGACCATTGCCAACGTGGTCAAGATGATTCCCATGATCTTCCTGATGTGGAGAATGACAGGACGTGGGGTTACACATGTCATCGCCCCTATCGACGTCAAACATGCTTAGTTAGAAGTACCGCTTGGCTCTGCAAGATAAGCAAACCGAGATCCCATGTGCTGATGGGCTGGGGCTTGTTGTTGGTATTTGGGTCACATTGGTTGTTCCGTTCATTCTTTCCGTGATCGTGCGGGTTTCTGCCCTGGGCCCAAGTTTGCAGTTCGCCGGTACACCTTGGACACATGTTGCAAGATTTGTATGGGGCATGCAAATGTGAATCCTCCGAACCAGAAGTAACAGCATGTTACTGTCGATGCGATGTTCGTTTCAATTCCAGCTTTGTCGAACATTTCTGGTGGCACATGAGCGACGGACCTTTACCAGCACCACCTCGCCTCATCGCGAGCTTAGCAGTCCGGGGCATATTGGCACAGCCCAAGACTTGTTGATGTTTTCAGTGGGTGGGAGTTTTGTGTGGGGATGTTTTGTTTCGATTTTGCGCCTGGGGATGTCAAGTTATGCAGTTATGCGTCGTTTCACACGGTTTGTTGAAGGGATGTTGGTGTTTAGTGTTGTGTATTGATTAGTTTGCGGTGCCCAATAAGTTCAGAGCGTGTCACATGCCAAAACACTAAGGTGCACTCACAGCGGTTTTTTCGCCTGAGCTGCGTGTTCTTCCTCCTTTGTGCCGTTGGCAGTCTCGTGCCAGGCTGAGGCTGACCGACCCTTTGACAAATCGTTGACGGTCAAAGTCGTAGCAATTTCGGAGAAGCTGCAAGGTTTTATTTTGGCCGATTCTCATCAAGGAGGATTTTGAGGCCATTGTGCAATCGTCATGGTGGAGGTGTGACAAGGAGATATGTTCGCGCCGTATACATCGCTGGTAGGCCTATCTTCAATGTGACGGGCCTCAACATGGCAGGCGACTGTGTGGAGAGCGTTTGAGAGAGCTTTGAAGAATGCGCCAGTTGCGGGCCGTGGGCCCAGCACTCTGCAGGCTTCACATGTTGAGGGAGCTCAGGAAACTCCAGGCATGACCCACTCCGCCATTGTTGTGGGTTGAAGTGCTGCTGCAAGCGTGCCTTTTGCCCTTCTGCAGAGAAGTTCTGAGCTGCGGCATGCAGGGTTTGGAAAGGGAGGTTTGCCGAATACGTTCCTCCGCACTGCGCATGTGGCCGAGCTACACAGATGCGGACTCGTAGGGCCGTAGGAGGTTTTGTTCTGGCAGCGAGAGGAATTGTTCAGACAGGTAGTGTTCAGACACGTAGCTTGATGTAGCTTGTCCCAGCACAGTAGAGTATTAGAGCGCAGCATAGGGCTTTCAAGCTTTGGTCCGATGCATGGCGACGGCTTCGAGCCCTCAGCCCTTCCATGAGTCGGGGCCACACTCGCATGCGCTTACTCTGCATGCATGCTTCAAGATGCTTGGATTCTTCTTGCGTCAATGACTCTGTCCAGGCCCTTACCGAATGCCCTTCTTAGAGTGCTTCGCATTTTCGACGCCGTCCGAGTCGAAGTCAAGATCATCGAGTAGTCTTGGGGGGTGCCCTCTTGTTTTGCGGAGCTGAGTGCGATGTTTTCCGCTCAGAAATGGGCCGAAATGCTACGGGCTGAGTTCTCTGGCAGCGTGAGATGTGAAATCCAGAAAAAACCAGTACGGCGGGAGCTGAGGAGAGAGATGCAGAGGAACTATGCAACGGACCTTCAGGCGATGACTGCACTCGCTACTCTTCCCATGCCTCCCAAACGGCTTCGCGACTTCAGGAGTCGACGGAGACGGGCGGCCGCACGCAGCGAATTGCTGTCCCGACCTTATAGCAGAGTGCAAAGAGCCACGGAACGAAAACCAAAGCAACGCGAGTCAGGTCGGCCTCCTCGGATTTGCCCTTTTCGTTGTCATCGTTGCCCTGTACGGGTCGCAACCTGTCTGGGTCCGAGGTCTTGGCAGCCTTTAAGGCTTCAAGGGGCCTTCCCGTTTTTGCTCCTTGCATAGAGAGAAGATGGGGAAGACTGTTCCAGGCCAGCCCAGCACGAGCTTCTGCTCGTCATGTCCTCAAGTTCACGGTGCCGCCCTTGGCTTGCCAGGGGTGGTGTGACTGCAACTGCTCGTCTTGGAGGCACTCCATGACACTTCTGAAAAGAAAGCTTCAAGCGTGGAGGAGAGAGAAGAGGCGCCCTGCATCCAAATCCCGCAATGCTGCTGTTGCAAGGCAGAGAAGAGAGCACTCATGTCAGTGTTGAGATGTTTGCACAGCACTGCATCAGTGTCACCGGACTGACTTGAAGTCTACATCCTGAGCTTCAGAACAAGGCTGAAAATGTTCCATACTTTTGCAGTATGCTTCCTTGGATGGATACTAAGAGTCTGCTGCCCGAGTCGTGACCGACAAACAAAACGAAGGGCGAAGGAGAACGTTGGATTTGGCTTGGCAGATGGACGTCAGGAGGCTTTGAGGCGCCTTGATGCCTCGGGAGTCCCCGCGAGAAGGCAAAACAGTGAGAGACCACAAAGAAGACTGAACGCGACAGCAGGACACTTCAGGCTTGGAGCGCTTTGGGAGAACGCGCACCCGACACCACATCCCCCTGTGTGGAGGCGGGTGTGTCGATGCATATCGGCAAAGGCAAAGGAGACGAGCCCGAGAGGCGAAGCCGTGGCCGTGGCTGCTTCCGGACGGTTTCGGAGCCACCTGTTCTGTTTTAAAGGGCGCGCGCGCCGCCGAGCCCTCTTTCTGCAAAAAAAAAGATGAGAAAAGAAAGGGTGTGGAACGACTGCAACGACTTGGGGCCGTCCCCGTTGCGGCCTGGAGAGAATCGATTTCGTTCGTCCACGGCGACGGGGCGGAAGTTGCGTGCGCTTCAGCGGCGCAGGGATCTAATGGTGCATTTAACTTGAACGATAGAAAAAACCAAGAGACTGCCTGGACTAGCCTGCAGCCTATGCCACGTCGGTTTGATAATAAGCTTGGCAGCTCTCCTAGGTGTAAATGATCAGTTGAAAGTTGAATTCTGCGAAACTCTCGTGAGGTGTCCGAGCAGGTCCTCGAGATGCAATCCAAGGTGACGAAGATTCAATCGAAACTTGAGCACTTGCAGTGCCTTGGACAATGCAGCTCCAAAGCATACCATGTTGAAAGTGCTGTTGACATCTCCAAGGTCCGCCTTGGATTCCTGCGGTTCGGCAGGTGAGGAGTGCAGGAGACCCAGTTCGCAGATTCTAGCGCGACCATGCAGTCCTCATGGCTCCCGGGGACAGGGTTCCTCGTTTCCTCGTGTAGCTGATCTGAGACGAGAACTGATGCAGCGCCTTTCATATCAGCATCAGACCTAGCTAGCAAGGCTTGGAAGAGCTACATATGCGTGCAGCCATTCTGCAGCTGGCAACCGCACATGCCATGCTTAGTGCTGAGATCAGTGCCGTTGACAGTTGTGTCCGGAAATCGATCCGAATTCAACACTGTTGGGGCGGTTTTCACTTGGGCGTGACCTGAAAACAGGTGGCGATTTCTCTCTACATGGAGTTTTTTCAGCAGCAAGCGCTTTTCGTCTGTCATTCGGCCTGTGGCAGTCCTTTTGGTGGTAGCCTTCTTGCAATTTTGTTTCTTGTGGCAGGGGAGCACCTGTTCAAGCGTTTGTTGAGCCCGTCGAGTGCTGCCAGCATCCCATCTGCGTTGCCCACGCTGTCCAAGGATGAAGCTGTTGGTTGTTTTGTCGACGATGTGCAAAAGGTTCACGTATACATATATATGTATATATGTATATATGTATATATGTATATATGTATATATGTATATATGTATATATGTATATATGTATATATGTATATATGTATATATGCATGCATACATACATACATACATACATACATACATACGTACATGCATACATACAAACATACATGCATACATACATACAAACATACATGCGTACATACATACATACATACATACATACATACATACATACATATAACTTCATTTAAACTTTGGGAAGTTCTTGACATCACTCTCTGCAGAAATACTACCTCAGAAGCAGGGAGACTCACTTGAGCAACCTGATTGGAGTCCATGTGGACCTCAGCTGGGAATCTAGCACAGGAAGCTGTCCCGTGAAAGCTCTTCCGGTGCGAGTTGAGCTAGTAGTACTAATGATGAGTGTCCTCCCAGTTCCAGCACTTTGGTTAATGTCACTGAAGTCAGCAGTGTGCTACAGGGTCGCAGATGCTGTAAAGTCATTCACGTGCTGCTCTGTGGAGCTCTTCAGAGTGTTCTTCGGATCTGCAAAGGAATTTCTGCAGTCTTTTTTTCTCTTACAGAGCAGTCCTCATCAGGAAGCCCGTGTTGAGATGCATTTGTGTTGTTGCAGCACTCCTCGCAGATGGTCTGACGTTGCCCCCTCTTGTGATCTCTGCCACGCTGCCTTTTCGGCCTCCGAGGTGCACACCCGCTGCAGTGCTCGACTCCCAGTCTGTCCCAGTCCATGCAAGCCTCCGCGAAAGTTCTTTCATGACCCTTTGCAGGCTGTCACGGGGTTCAATGCTGTGCAGATGGCACACAATGCTGTGGGAGCAATTCCGACACGTGTTCTTGATGAGTTGCAGTGTTCCTCTGACTTAGTTTCACTAGGACATCTCCATGGCCTTGATGCCAGGTGGCAACTGCTGTGCTGCCAACGATGTTTGCTGTCATGGAGGTCGTCGCAAAAACATGACAGACAGCATAGTCTTGCCCTGCACCCCCGGAGGTTGCTGCAGCCAGGGGAGTGTATGCTGTCGCGATCTTAGGTCAAAGACACACGAAGTTGTCCTCCTTGCATCTTGCCGAGGTGGTAACTAACGGTTTGTGTGGTCTGCCTGGCAGCAAATGCGAAGATGGCGTCGTCCTGGCTCCACCGATTCACACCTCCCACAACGCGCAGGCGAGCTCATGCGAGCTCCATCGAGCTCCGAGTCCCAGTGCGATGCTCACGCGGCACGGGCTCAGGAGGCGATCGACGGCGCCAAGAAGGCGCTGGAAGAGATCGAGAGCGCGGCCTCCAAGGCGCCATCGGCGCAGCCTGAGAGCCTTTGTTTTTCTTTCCGCAAAGGCAGAAGATTGGGTGCAGGACTCAGCACATAGCTCTGGCAACTTTGGTTGACAGTCAAAAGCAGGCGCTTAACTTGCTCAGTGCCAGTCGACAGTCACTCACTTACTCACTCATTCACTCACTCACTCACTCACTCACTCACTCACTCACTCACCCACACCACTGGTGTGGATTTCGGAAAGGATTCACCACCAATCCAAATGCTTTATTCAATCCTCGCATTATCTTATGCAAGGGCTCTGCCATCTCTGCCATCTTCAAAGCCAAACGCCTGTCGCGCAATGTCCTTTCCTGTGTTAGCCCAAGCAACACGAGCGGAAGTATTTCGCGTCCATGGATTCAAGGTTGTTCGTCGCTTCAATCAATCAGGACCATGGTTTATCCCAACCTGAGCTTCTCTCCAAGGTCCCAACGAAGGACCTGTGTGGTTTTCAACTGCTTCATAGTTGTAGCGGTGCTCTGCTTGGCAAGCTGCCAACTTGTCCAGCCATCAGATGCCTGGTCCTGGCAGCCCTACAACGGAAAGTCATTGGACATACTAGCCAACTGAGTTGCCGAGGGCGCGTAATGGCAGGCGAACCGGTGAGATCGCATGTCAACAGCAGCCCCAGAACGCCCGTCTAGGCTGTTGTGGTGTGGTGGGTCCACTTTAGTGTGCCACGTGCTCCACACAAGCCTCATGCTCCGAGGTCGAGACGCACCCGGGGAAGCAGCAACCACTGCAGACACCGCAGCCACCGCAGCCGCCGCAACCGCTGCAAGCCAAGTGAAGTCAGCAGAGGCTGCGAGAGTGAGAAGGTAAACCCAAGCCCCGAAACCCGCTTTCCAAGAGAGGGGAGAGAAAGGGAAGGGGAAGTCTGGGGGAGTCATGGGAAGGGCATGGGTGCTCCATGCATGCAATCCGCGAGATCGATTCCTAGCGCGACGCTGCACCAGCGGTGCCTTGCGCAGCCTTCGAAGCTCAGAACTCAGCTGCTCATGGTCCTTGGCAGGGGCCTCCACGTTGTGGTCCGTCCAGGTTCACTTCGAAGGACAATTAAAATAACGCCCGCGGCTCAGAGCGAGACAGGCAGGGTCAAAGCGAAGCTGGCGCATCTTTCGGAACTTTGCAAGCCGAAGCCCAGCGCTTCAGAGGCTTCGGGACCGGGACCATGCCGTCCGAAGTCGTGGAAATCTCACTTAGCCTTAGTAATTAGGGGGCCAGTGCCTGGATAAAAGTCCAGGTTGGCCGCAGGGTGCTTAGGGCCAGGAGCCATCATTGGGAATTGCTGAGCATTGCACAGTGCTCTGTGTTGGTCTCTTGTGAGCATTGCGCTCATAGTGGCGGCTCTTTCCCCTGGCTTACGCACCGCCTACAAGAAGATGATGGCAGTGTTTAATTGTGAGTGAGACTACAAGTTGCGGTGTTGGATGTACTACGTCTCACACTCCTTGCACTGTACAGTATAGTAGGTAATGAAGAAGCTAACGATTTTCAGTTGGAGCTGACGAGTGCCTTTTCGGGAAGAGGAACGAGACAGCTGAACACAATCAGCCAGGGCAAGCTTTCGCTTGGTCCATGCCAGAATTGAGTTCCACTGCACGTGTGAAGTCGGTCTCGACTGGTGTTCTTTCGTGCCTTTTTGCGGTGGCATGCGAGACTCAGGTTGCGAGAATGCGTGTGGTAAAGGCAACGTCGCTTGAAACAGTCGTCAGCACGACCCACAAGCTCAAGAAGCCTATCGGCCTAACACGTGATATATGTTGTTCACGATTCAAGAAAGTTGCTCGGCCAGAGTGGCACAGCGATTCGCACTCTGCACCAGTTCTGCCTCCCACGAACCTTACGCAGCCGCAGGTTGGGTCTGAAGCATCCTTGTCTGCCAAAAATGCAGTCATGTAATTCCGTAATTCCAGCAGCTCTGTGCAACTATGGCTGGCTATGCCAATGCGGCAGCTCCGGCTGCGAATACCTCCGCTGACGCTTGGGTGAATCAGTCGAGCTGCACGCCTTTCATCATCATTTCCAGCAGATGGCAACGATAAGTGTGCTTGAATTGTGAATATCTCTGTTGCTTGTGATTAGAATTTGGGCAGTGCTTGTTGACATGATGACCGCAGAACAGTGTATGGGCGGCAGCATCAGCAGCGGACCTGAGCAGAGTCGCCTCAGGTGGAGGAGCTCCAGCGCCGTGCGGCAGAGCTGCGGCAGGAGTTGCAGCAGGAAGCCCCGAAAGGAGGCACTTGCTGAGATGTGTCGGTTCTCGTTCTGCACAGGTCGAGGCTGAAATCGAGAGAGAGGAGGCAGCGCGATTCAGGGGCTCAGCATGAAGAGCCAGTACCTATATACTTGCCGCTTGATGCAACAGGCGCTGCTGAGTGCTGGCACGGCGCAAAAGCTCCACCACCGTCCCAGCTATTCGCTATTAAAGGGCACCGAGGACTTCGGACATAGGGCCTTTGACTTCGTGCGGGCCTATTGGGATGGATTGGGACTTGGGCCTCAAGCACTCGGATGTATTTGATGGCTTGCTGTTTGTGCCGCGGTCGGGAGTGGCTTCTGGCAAACATGCTTTGAGCATGATCGCGGTCTTGATATGACCGCAGAATTGAGCAGAGTCAGATCCAGGAACGCATGAATTGCGAGAGAAGGAGTTGGACGCGAGACTAAAAGCTCACTGTTTTCTCTGCCGCAGTCATCTGTCGTTGCTTGCACGTTGAGTTTTCGGATGTTCATGGTTGTGCAAAACTGAGCTCGACACTCAAGTCGCACATTTCTGTGGCTCAGGGTTCGAGGAAGATCACGGCACGATGACCGAGGGCACAACGTGCTCACGTAGTGTTTCATGTGTTTCGTTTTTTCCTGGACTTCCAGTTTGTTTCTTTCGTCCATCTGTAAATTTGTTCGTGCGCAGCTTGTCGGAATCCTGCAGTAAGCTCAGAAGCCAGCACGCACGCAGCAAGCGACGGAATAGTACAGAGGAAAACGAGACAGACCGTTTGCATCAGTCGACTGTACTGTGCAGTGCCTTTGTAAAGCCACCGACATGCCCTGGAGCTACTTATTACATCACTTTGATGTTTGGAGCACATCGCAGGACGAGGCTCCCCCTAGTGGTCTGGTCCGACAAGTTAGCGATCAGAACTTCGACGAGATCTTGAGGTGCAGAGAGGGAGCGAGGGCTGGGTTGGGCAATGTTGGGCTTCTGATCCTGCACCAGGACATTTCCACCTCTGGAGATCTCACCCATTGGGTCCTACAACCACTGGGACCGGCGAGAGTGCCTGGGCGGCAGAAGCAACGCCTCGTGCATCCGCCTGCGCCTGCCTCTGTCTGCTCGGCAGGTGTGCTGTGGCCAACGCAGAGGCCTGGAAGGGCGAGTGCTCCAGGTACCAGAAGGCGCCTGGGCCTCGCTTCCTGGAGTTCTGAGCTTCGAGCATCTCGAGCCGATGTCGGAGAGGCGGTGCTGAAGGGGAAGGCGCAGATTCCGAAGGTAATCCATCAGATCTGGATCGGCCCCAAGGCCTTGCAAAGGAGGTGATTAAAAGCTTGTGGCTTGGCTCTGCCTAAACTGCAGGAGCCTCCTTGCCTCTGGATTGATACCTTCCGGGTGGAGTATTTAGCAGCCCATCCGGACTGGTCTTTCCATCTCTGGAGTGACGACGAGGCGAGCACTGCAGATGGGGCTCTTTCGCAACCGTCGATCACTAGTGTCCATGCTTGCAGTGTCGATACCCGCTTTTCAAGCATAAGCCAGTGTCAGATGTTTAAAGTTTACTACGTCTGTGATCTGAGATAGGGATAGTTCGGAATATTCGGTATGGAATCTCCTCTCAATCGCCCCTTCGCTATTACGTTGGATCAGATATAAAGAAATGACCTCTTAACACCATCTCCTTGCCGCCCCTGATGTTCTCTCTTTAGAACGTCTTCCTTCCATAGAGGATAAACTAGACTCCTCATGTACAGAGCACCTTTATCAGTCCCCCGAGGATCATCTGCTTTCGCTTACTTATAATCAGTTTCCAACTCCTTCTGGTACCCCGGACCCCCACAAATATATGTCATCGCTGACACAGACGGCCCTGCCCCATGCTTATATCCCCCGACAACCCAGCTAGATGGGGATTTGCAGTCATCGGTTCCTTGACTTGGAGGAGCTGAGAGCTCTCCTTCGGCCCCATTCGTTCTTCCTCCACTGACACATATTCTCCAGGAAGTCTGGGGCTCCAATAACACAGGAGGACTCAAGGCCCTCGTAAAGATCTTTGACTACCTTTAATATTATGCTAACCTCCCTTCTCTTTCCTCTCTCACCGTTTGCACAGAGTCACAATACGCACTGCGAGTAACTCTTCGCTTCCTTGAAGGTGACGCGCTTCGTACTACACCCACCATCAGCTTAACCTTCTCGTTCAGCAGATCTGTGCAGCCCTGCGAACTCTGCACCTTGTCATTCTTAACAAGGTGCCGGCCACTCACGTATGATAGGAAATGATCTCGCAGACTCCTTACAAAAAACAAGGAGTTACTCAACACGGTTCACTGGGCAGGTTCTCTAGCTCCCGCACGGCTGCTCTCTCCCCTCCGGAGATTGGTTAGTCCTCCGAAAAGTAGATATCTCATCGATCTTACTTCCGGCTAAACTCCCTGTCTCACCGGAAAAAGCCTGAATCTCTGCCTCTACCTTGCCGCCTTTCAAAAACAAGCTGATTTCACTGAATCAGAGGTCAAGCGCCACCGCCATCGCATCGAGAAACTCGCCCGGTAAGTTAAAAAGCAGTTCATTTTGCAGCATCCTCAAGAGGGTTTTCATGGCTCCGCAAGAGAAGAATGGTGCACCACGTGCACTTTGCACAGGGATTTTCGTCATTCACTAGCCGTCCTCGTCGGGCCGATGCTTTGCAGATTACGCCGAGTGTGGAGTGCGGCCTCCCCAGAGTCGCTCTTTGGATCCTCGCTGAAAGGTCACAAACTGAAGCAAAAAGTCCTCTGATGTCTTCTGTGCGCTCAAAGCTGCCGGGCGCAGGTTCGATGAAATCCCCACAGAACTCATACTCAAAGGGTGCCCAAACAAAGGCCCCATAGGTCCTTTGGCAAAGTCTTCTTCACTACAACCATTGTCTCGCTACTGGAGCGGCTCCTTCTAGCCGGTTGCACTCCGAAGTCGTCATGCTAGTTAAGAACTACCAAAATGATACAAAGCCGCAGACAACTACCGACCAATTTTTCTCTCTAGTACGTTGTGGGAAGCCTATTCCTCTCTCTTGCAAAAAGATAGGCTCATCATTTTGACTACCACATCCGCAAAACCCAGTTCGGTTTTCGCTCTCATCGTTCTGTTAGCGAGCCATCCGCATTCTTCGTCATCTTTCCAGGTGCACGATCGCCGAACCGAATACTTCCACACGATCTATTTGGATTGGGCGAGGGTCTTTGACTTTGTCGCTTTCTCAGCATTTCGCTCTTTCCTTGCGTATGGGTGTCCCACCCGCTCTCCGAGCAACTAACTATCTATGGGTGTCCCACCCGCTCTCCGAGCAGCTATCAATTCCCTGTACCAGAAACTCATTTTCGTGATTAGGGACAGCAGAAATATCCCCGTCAAATCGTGTCAAACCGGGGAACTGCGCGACGGATGTCTTTTCTCCCCATTCTCACTTATTTATTCGAATATAATCATCATTGCTCCAGTTCATGCACAAACAAGCATGGTGCACAATGTGGTCTCCAGCTTAGTTATGCTAATTGCGAACATGTTGGCTTGAATTCCAACAGATGTGTGCGATTTGATAGTGCTTATCTCATATGGGAGACAGCAGAGGATCTCCACGTTCCTCTGGCCGAGGTTGTTAAGTATCTAGGACCTAGGAGTCTTCCTTGATGCGAAATATAATAACCACAAGAATGTTTCTACCAGAGTATCTCGAACCATGGAAGCCTCCAAGAAACTCTGACCTCTCCTGGCGCATGGTTTACTTCCTCCCAATTGGAAGCTTCTAGTGTACCATTCTGTTGTTCAATCCCATGTATGCAGTGGATAGTGTTTTGTTTATGCTTGCTCAACTGACCAAACTGAGCACTGTGCATTATAAATATCTCCACCATATCTTTAAGATTAAATTTTGTTCTAGGGGCTGCGCCCAGGGGCAGGCAGCGCAGGTGGAAGAAGCCTGGAGCAAGGCCACGCCCCCCCTCGCCAAACCCCGCTGATGCCAATGATGCGCGCCCGTTGGTGTCCGCCGAACCCCGCTGATGCTGATGATGTGGGCCCATTGGGAGCTTCCGCAACCCACTCAAAAATTTACAAATCATGGGGGAATGGCTGCGAAACGCGTGCGTGTTCTGCAAGGCCTCCTGGCGAGGTCCCGAGCGGCCCCGTGGAGAAACGAGGGTCCGCTGAAGCAGGTCGGCGGCACTGGCGGCCGCGCAGAGCTAGCAAGGCTATACCAGGCGTAGCATGGAACTCACAGGACGCATCCGCTACCCTGAAAAGTGGAGACACCGCCAGGGCAACACTTCCAACACTTCGTGTGCGAGTCGCATCATGTGCACGGCCAGAACCCTCGCCCGTTAGGGCGGGTTAGACTCGTCCGCTAGGACGCTCGATCGGGCGGGTTAGGAATTCGCCTGTTCGCCCGTTGGGGCGGGTTAGGCCCACTCGCAAGGACCCATGTGCGCACGGTTTTCCTTAGGTGCACAGCTACGTGGGGTCGGCTGCAACAGTCCGGGTGTGGTCTTCTAACTGATTCCTGGAGCCCCTAAATATGTGCTTCCTCTTGTTATGCGACCGTAAACTTGCAGGGCATCGCCGTTAAGTTTGAAGGTTTCCGATTCTAGACCCCTAACTCGAGTCCTGGGCATGACAGCACGGCGGACTATGGTTAGCCGTAGGAGCAATTTACATTCGGTCCGGTCGGCTGCAACAGCCTAGGTGTCGGCCTCAGCGGCCTCGACTTCTAACTGATTTTTGAGGCTCTTCGAAAATTCGCTTGCCTGCGTCATGTGACCGCAAACCTCGTGTCCTTTGCCCGTAAGATTGTAAGCTCTGAATTTCGGTGAATTAAATTACTCTTACTCTAGCTACACTAACCGCTGTAACGACCATCGAATTTTTTTTAGCCTTGCTGAGGGCGCTAAGGGCGCTAGGGGCGCTGAGGGCGCTGCGGGGGCTGAAGGCGCTGTGGGATGGGGCCCGGAGGGTGCTGCGGGGGGCGGTGTGGGGTTGGGCCTGCCTTGGGGTCGAATTAAATTAATCTTACTCTAAGCTAGCTATACACTAACCGCCCTAAAAGACCATCGAACATGGCTACACTAACAGCCCGAAAACCATCGAATTCTTTTAAAGTTTTACTTCAAAAGCTGAGGGCGCTGCGGGCGCTGAGGGCGCTGGGGAGGGCGGTGTGGGGTTGGGCCTGCCTTGGGGTCGAAATTACTCATACGAAAACCTACAAACACGAACCGCCGAGAAAACATCGAAACGAATTCTTCAAGCCTCAGCTCGCTGAGGGCGCTCAAGGCGTTGGGGGCGCTGAGGGTACTGAGAGGAGCCTGAGGGCACTGGGGGAAGTGCTGAGGGCGCTGGGGGCGCTGAGAGTGATCCGCGCTGAAGGTGCTGGGTGGGGCATAGGGTTGGGCCTGCCTTGGGCTCGAATTCTTTTCTCCTCCTCGGGGTGGGGGCTTCAACTTCGCGTGTAGGTTGAACTCGCCCGTTAGGGCAGGATACGCCCGCACTCTGGGAGTTGGGGCCCAAGCTCGAGCAGTAAGCGGCGGAGTGATCAACAGCCGAACCCACAGAGCACAACTTCTGGTTGTCCTGTTTACTGGAAGCCTCCCAAGGATTAGATCACATCCTTTCTGGCGAGCCACCAATCCACTCGCATGTCGAACACTTTTTGATGGTACAGTCTGTGCCTCCCACATGAGACAAGCACATTCCTCGCAATCATCAACATTCCTTTGTATCGCCGTGTCTCAGCAGTTGCCAGAAACAGAGCCTCATGGGATGGGTAGGGGTAGTGAATAAGCCGTTTGCTGTAAGGCTTTAAATCTGGATGGATGAATTTTGTCCCGTCTCGGCCAAGCTTGCCCCAACTTACCGCGCGACTCCCGTGGCTTTTGCTTGCCTTCCACAGCTCCGATGATCTTTATCGCACGTTCTACTCGTCCAGTTGCTAAAAGTCTGTGAAAAGTCAGATGGCCTTGCTCCAGCAGCCGAAGCAGGTGGCCAAGCTGCCGATGATCAACGACCAGATTTACCATCAGGTCCTTTGCTTCCTGAAGTAAGTCTCAGTGGAACTTGCCTTCAGTCTCTGAGGAGAAGATGTGGCAGTGCAAGGCCGACATCCTTCGCTTGGAGTTCCTCTGGCACCACGGAGGTCTCTATGTGGATGCGGCATCTCGGACCGAAGTGGCTCCTGTCCTGTGCACCTGCGTGCACTGCGCGCGGTATCTGAGGACATGATCTCCGTAGAGCAGCCGCCGAGATGCAGAGCAGAGCAACGCTGCGCGTTTTGCCTGACAGAATCTGTTTTGGACGAGGAAAAGCCTGGACCGCATCCTTGAGCTCGGCAACGAGACCGGCTGGGCAGTCGCCCTAAAGCACCTTCTGAGCATTTTGCGGCTCAGACCGGACGGCGCAGACCCGACACACGTCTGCTTTTCTGAGGTCATCGCCTATGAACCCGACACCAAAGACAAGCCTTACTCCATCCTGGGCAACTCTGTGCATCCCGGCTCGGTCGTCTCTTGCCGGCCACTGTGCCCGGCGCAAATCCCAGGATTGCGTGCACGCCTCATCATCCGCTGACCTTGATGCTCATTCTCTTCCTAAAGCAGACGTACCACCAGAAGCGCAACCACATCGAGGCCCTGGTGACACATGGGAAGCATCCACTTCTGTGCAGCGCTGCAGGTCTTTGCTGTTACGGGGCCCGTGATGTACACCAAATGCTTGGTGGATAGCGGCATGCCGATCTCTCTTGCACCACAGGAATGGCTGTATCCGGCTCCCCGCATTAAACTATTTTCGTGTAGGCAAAGCTCTACAGTGGCTGGGACTTCCGAGGCCTTCCATTTTGTTCCCAACCCTGATGCCATCAACTTCTCGGCGTTTCCAAAATGTCTCATGTGGCTTGGGCATGCAAGGATGAACACAACTGAGAGACACTCTCCATCTCAATAGTCTCAACAGTCCGCTTGAGCACAGCGGCTTGTGACCGAGCACTATTGCGTTTGCTGTGCTTTTGTTCGGCTTCGAGGTTCCAGTTCGGGTACACCTGCTCTGGCCTGGAGGGTCCAGCGCTGCACCGACCAAGCATGCGGTTTGGCATCACCGCGCACTGCAGGCTATGTGAAGTCCAAGAACCGCTGCAAGAAGGTGCCGCACTCGGCTCCTCGACCTTTAGCACAGAAGCTGCAGCCAGGCTCGCCAGTGCCCCTTTCACTCCAAGAAGGCGTGATTTCCCACGGCTGACTTGCACAGACTTGCCCGCAGCATGCAAGATAACGCAATATCTCTCCGCACTGTTTCTTCTCGGTCAGTTTTAGGCCTGGCCGCTTGGGGCCTTCAAAGAGCTTCCGAGCATCGAGGAACTGGAAGCCAAGCCGGCGCCTGAGTGAAACGAGGTCTCCTTTCTTTAGCAGGAAAGGTGTCGCATGCCATCGCTTGGGAGTGGCAGAAGTCGCACACATCGCTCAGCACACGACGACAGCATTCTTGGCAGCCAGGCCATGGGGATCTCGGTGAAGGGCTTCGGACGGGCAGTATCCACGACTTTTGGGGCTTCGGGCCGTCTCCACCCAAGGTTCAAGTCGCAGCGAGCTTCCATACCGCAAGTCATCCACCAGGCCGGCAGAAATCATTTTGGGCTTCGCTTCTCTTTGGCATCTCGTGCGATGCGAGGTGATACCGGCCGGCCTGGACTCACACAACGACCCGCAGAGGTGGAGGCAGAGCTGGTACGACTCTTTCTGCCAGAGCCATCCCGGCTTCAAGTACAGGACTGCGCATGAAGATGGGTTGCTGCATTCTTGGCAGCTCTGTTACGGAAGGACTTGGACGAAGGAGCAGCTTCAAGGGCGAAAGTGGTGCTTTGGCCAAGCGAAGTTCAAGCATTTCAGACTTCGGCTTCCCCCCTGCATCTTCCAGGGAGCTTCTGCAGGTTCTGTGCGAACCTTTATGTGGAGCCCTGGGACGACCATGCAGTCACTTCGCTGATGATGGAGGTGCTATTCGAGGCAAGCGGTGACCCGAAAAAAGCTTCCAACTGTTGTGACTTTATCTCAGTCTTGCACAGGAAGGCGGCTTCTACGTTCCGCTCTCCACGTTGCATCAGCCTGGCTTCAGTGAGGACGTCGTGGCATTCGGATAGGCAAGGTGAAGCCGGTCGGCAACGATCCAGCCACGAATGCCCAAACGTGGCCTTCTAGTTTCTTGCTGAATGCTTATACGGGTCAGGTGTCGTGAAGTGACATGTATGATGGACATGCTTCTTAGAGTCTTAGGATGGCCTGGAGGGGGCCTTGCATGCAGGAAGGGGCGAAAAAGGGGTGCTGCACCCGTCCCAAGCGTCCAGCTGCTTGTGCACGTGCGACCCGCGCGCATTTCCGTCACGTTCAGGCCCGTGCTTGACATTTCGTAGGTGTTGTTGTCTCCCAGCACGAAGCAGCCCATGTAATGTTTTCATCGGCGAAATGGCTCCAGGTCGAGCTGTTTTCCAGGCCTGAAGTTTTCACTTGAAACAAATCAGGACGATCTCTTCCATCCGACCCGAAATGGGTTCGAGCCAGCCCACCCGCAAATGCATGTGTGAAGGCTCTGTAATTCGGGTTAGACGAATCTGGTCTTCACTGTTCTCCAACAGAATGCATTTGAGAACAGTTTGACGGAACACGAAGCCGGGACCTATGACTTCACATGATCTTGTGGGCTAGCTAGACTCATCTTTCACGTGCCTGTACGGAGACAGATGGGAGGGCAGGTCTTCTTTTTGTCGGGAGTTGTCAGGCCAGTTCAGAGGGCAGGCGCAGCCAAAGCCCGTTGGTCTGGGTCTACATTGTCGTTTGGCCGACTACTAGCACACAAAACTGGTCCAGCATTTCAGGTCTTCTGACGCACAAACAGCCGACGCCGCATCCTGAACCAGAGTCGGCTTCTGTCCAGTAAAGAATCAGAAACGAAGAATGCTCCACGACAGCTGTCCAACGCACCGGGCGTTCCGTCAAAACGCTGGGAGAATAGAATAATCACGTGATCCCAAGACGAGAGGGTCGTTCTGGGCATTTCTGGAGGGCGGACCTTCCGACTACTAGTTTGATTTGCTTCAGCGAGCGATGGCACATAACAGCAGTTGGCACCCCTTGCAGGACCACTTCTTCCTGGAGGCAACCTCAGATGAAGAGATAAATTACATCGAGGGCAACGGAGGCGTAGTTGGCGTGGCCAAAGGCTCTCCGGAATGCTTCCGGCGTCTCATGGATCTGTACGACTGCGGTCATGTGCCAGCGATGGCAACGCCCGGCCCAGATGGGCCTCGGGTGGTGCAGATGGGCTTCCGAGACGGACCCGGGGAAGCAGAAACAGAAAGACAATTCTGACAGTCGGTTTGAGTCTAGGTGCAGCACTAGCAGATGTTCGTTTCTTGTAGTTCTTTGAGGAGTTGTCTTCGTTGTGCTTTCGAGGACTCGTGTCGCAAGCGCGCTTCTCAGCTCAAACTCAGTACCTGGGAGCACCGCAGGCGGGGATGGAAGACACCTTCTCTTGCTGGTGTTGCCTGCTCTCCCTGCAGGTGATCGCTTTCAGCAGTGTGTCAGATAAGCGGCTTGAGCTTTCCACACTGAGCTACGCGTATGAATGCATGGCAACTCGGATAGAAAGGATCCGTTTTTAAAAGCAGGCTGCCGCCAGCACTTTCGTGTGAGCGTGTGTGAAGCTTCGTCAGGTCCCGTGCCTGGCCGTGCGGGGAATCCCCGCTATGAGGGCTGCCGTGGGGGAGATGGGAGCCTTGTCCGAAGGGTCTACGAAGTTCAGGACCCTTCGTTCGGGCCTTCGGGACAATCTACCTGACTCAGGCCTTTCCTCGAAGTCGGTCTTTGTGACGGACCGGGAGTTCTTTCAAATGGATCGCCTTCGACAGGACAGCTCTTCTGAGATGCCGTGTTGATGCGAGCAGCCACTTCCAGAAGTAGCGGAAGTTGTGCGGAAACTGCCCAGGAGATGCCCGGATTCCTGGACCAGCTAGGCAGGGTCGGAGGGAATCCGGTTTAAGAAATTCTTGGAAAGCGAGGCCCCCACGACTGGGACGCGGTGATCCTTGGTTTGGAGTGGGACACCGGCTCAGAGGACTGGGACCAAATAGTGTGACGGCAAAACGCTTGGCCGAAGCGTGGAGAGGAAGTCGTCATCTTCGACCTCGTTCCAGGCAGGGCACAGGCACAGGAGGTCTCAGGAGAGGAAGCACTTTTGCCACGAGGCGGGCGGCCTCGTTCTGCCAAGATCGCCGGCTTCGTGGCGAACTTCGGCTGCGCGCCCAACGAGGCGGCTTTGCAGGCTGCATTGGCCAAATGCCTGGCAGAGGACGGGAAGACACGAAGTGATACACGAGCATCGCGGCATCTTCCCGTGTGTGCCGTCACAGGAGGACTTCGAGCCTTCTCCTCTCTTCGAAGCTGCCGGTCAGCTGAAGCTGCGTTTCCTTGCCGAGAAGTATGCAGGCACGGCCCGTTGCCCGGCATAGCTCGTTTTGCACACAGCTTCCAGGTAGCATGGAAGAGGCACGGCTTTTCCGAAGCATGCCTTTGGTGCACCGTGCCTTCAAGAACCTGGCTGGTCATGTGAGCCGGCTGCAATCTTGCTGGTGAGAGTCAGAAAAGGGAATCGGCCCAATCAAGGAACCCCCCATGCACTTCGAGAACCATGAGCTCCATGGAAATTTGATGAAGGGCTTCCATTCTGGTGGAGCCTTCGGCTGGAACAGTTTCCTCATCTGTCCGGCACATGTGGAGATGTCGACAGGGAACCTGCGGTTCGAGATGATTCTGGAGCCGAATGGTGGAATCATGTTCCGGTGCTGGAACGACGACAACTCCACCAACTCGGAGGTGGCTTCATGGCATTGTGCTTTGCATCTTATCTCGCAAAATCATCGTTGTGGAACCGGAGGTGAAGATGAGCGACAGCGTTGTAGAGTGGCTGAAAGTGTACTTCGATCACCAGGAGGGATCGGAAGATGCGCTTGAGCATGTACATGGGGTGTGCGCGGAGCTTCAAGCTGCATGAAGGTGTGCAAGGAAATCCGGAATGAACCCGTCCCGTGAGTGCTTCCTGGCAGTTCTGTGTGATGTGTCACCGCGTCGCCGGTAGCCCCTTTGCTGGGCTCCCGTCCAAGTTGTAACAGCATTTTGAGCAGTGTTTTCCATTGCAGGCGTGAGCCTGCACGTTTCTGCTTTTCCAATCTGCACGACACGATGACTGTGGTGTTTGGCACGCTATCGTTGACTCTCCTGCCGTTGCAGCTTTCAGCAAAAAGCAGGGTTGCCTCCTGTCACTAATGCACGGCCCAACCGACACAACGTGCCGAGGTCAGACAAGAATGTTGGGGCCGCGACACCATCACAGCTTCAGCAGCAGCGTTAGCTGCGCCGCCAGAGGTAGCATGCAACAAAAGAGAAGCATGTGTCTGTGATTGTGCGCTTGGTGGACCACGCGCTTTAAAAGAGAGTGTCTGTTGTCGCTCGGCAGTTCTCTATTCGACAGTTGGTCCATCATGATCCGGTGTGCATCCAGTGAAACAGCGGGAGTAGGTGCTGTACTACCGTTCGTGAACACAAGAGTCCAAGATTCTAGTTTTGAGGCAGTGTTGAGGCACTTGATGCGGTTGCTGCTTTCGGCACACTCGGCTCTATCCCATAGGAGCTTCGTAGGATAACCGAACCGAGATGGCCTTCCGAACATCTCTGGCTGTTATAGTCCTCTGGCAGCTGTCCAGTGCAGACGAGCTGCAGAGGCTTGCAGACTGGAGTTTGGAGGAATGTGGCAAATACAAGAGCTTTGACAACTTAAGTTGGAGCTTGGGTGTCTTATATCACCATGGTAGTCTGCGATTGGAGTCCGCATGTTCACCGTAAAATTTCTTGTGTGTGTGTGTGCGTGTGCGTGCGTGTGTGCGCGCGTGTGGTGCAGCACCAAGGATCTGCGACTTCTTCTGTGATGTGGACTACTATGTTTATCCTCAAAGCTCCTGTCAAGAGTTTTGCCACAGAGATATTGATGACCTTTGGGATGTTTTTGATTCCTTCTGTGACATTGGCTCCTTGACTATGCAATCCCGCCTCTCAGGACCCAACTCTCGCCCGACAGTATTACCTTTATGTTTGAGCGCGGACTCGCGTTTGCCTTCTCTGGGCGTTCCTACAATGTTTGCCATGGCAACCCGAAACAGCTGCAGCCTTGGAGCCACGCTCCCTTGCTGTCAGACATTCAGAAACAAAGCCCAGAACCGTGAAACAGGTGCATAGTTTCTGAAAGGGTTTCGCCAAGAGTTCTTCCGAGGTGCCCAAGCAAGAATACTACACCGATTGCACAAAGAAAGAACCGATGAAAGCCTCCACTCAGGCCTCGAGTACATGGATGGAGAGTTCTGCGATGAACTGTGTCACGAAGGGTTTCATTGCGATGGCGATAGCTGCACGAAGTGCAACAGCCGATGCTATGAGACGTATTCCTGGATCTCCAAAGTATATGATGCTTGTGCAGACTGTGATGACGGGAGCTTCGGGCAAAGCCCTTCTGCTTCCGCAGTGGCCGCCACGACCACCACAACCACCACAACCACCACAACCACCTCGACCTCCTCGTCCACCGTGACCACCCCTGAGGTGTGTTCGGACTTTGCGCCGCTCTTCTCGAACTGAGAGGGTGCTTTTTTAGGTCTTTGGAGCCGCAATTGTATGCCCTGCCCTGCAAAAATTCCGAGCTTCTCTCAGGTCCTGGTGCCCGGCCCTCTGCGGAGCCGTTGGGGGGAGTTCGCCTGGGGAGGATTGCGTCGCCGCGTGCGAAGCACGGAAAGGTGACCTGACAGCAACGGCAAGGACCTACTGCCGATGTGGCTTCTGCAGCCATTACGCTTGGCTGGAAGCGGAGACAGCGAGCCTCTTGCAGACGCAGAAGCCAAGCCCGGGAAGGGATGGAGAGGAGGAAGGCTTTGAAGAGTGCAAATGCCGAGCCTGAAGCTGCATTGAAAGCAAATCGAAAAATCGCAACATGTCGACATGTGCAATCTGTGCAATCCCAATCGCAGCACCTTCGTTCCTCGTCCTTCTCCTCTGCAAGGAAGCGAAGTGGATTATTGCCAGAAGATTTGCAAAGGTCTGAGCTTGCAGGGCGATGCAGAGGCTGCTGAAGCTGTGGCCCCGTAAACTGACCGAGTGTCTTCCCCGCCTCATCGAGTGATAGGCCCACGCAAGCTCTACTAAATCATGAACGGTCTAATCAGAGTCGAATCAAGTTTTTGATCATCGAGCACTAGCCCTGCGGACCCTGCCCCGCTGGTCTGAGCTTCTTGGAGGCTTGTGCCCGCCAGTGCTACGGGGATGCGAAGCTTGGCCCTGTCCTGACGGACTACTGCACCGCTGTGGCCGCCTGCTGAAAGGCCCAAGTGTTGTAGTACGAGTCGAAGCTTTCGGTTCAAGCTCCCAGCATGGGAGCGACCTGGATGGGGCCATGGGCAAAGAGGTTGGAAGCTTGTCGGAGTGCGGGATGGGACAGATTCACGAAACCCACCCCACGCATGGCTTTCTTTACTAGAGCCTTTCGCACAACTTGCTTGAACAAAGCATCGGGCGACCGTGCCATATTTCCATGTGGGTCGGGATGATGTCCGGGATGGTTTTGGAGCACGGGGCACACTACGTGCATCACCCCGGGCAACACGCATCCCCCGCCCTGCCTTCCCTACCTGAAGTTTTTGCAGCGCGCACAGTCAGCTGGAACGTCCAGTGCATGATGAAGGCAGCGGCGTAACAGAAAACGATTGCAACACGCCCACAACATTGCGTAGGGGCAGCTAGGAGCATCAGACAGATCCACAGACCACAAGGCTCGCGGGAGGTTGAACGTTTGTTGGGCGGGTTTCGTCCAACAGTAACAGTGAAAGAACCACATCAGTCACACTCAGGCTCTGGATGCATGTCAGTCTTCACATTCGGTTGAGCGCTGCTTCTGGGTGCACCTTGCAGGAGAGATAATGCGCTGAAGCAGGCCGGTTTCATTCGCTTCTGTCCTGGGTCCCTGTGTAGATGGACGACAACTACGCACGGCCTTGTTTTGAATCGTGGGTGAGCATGGTGCGCACAGCACCCTTTTATCCTTCGGAGTTTTGTGTGAGCCCGAATGTGTGTGCAACTCAAGCGTGCAAGCCCGAAGCCGAATCATGAATGTCAACTTGTGGGATTGACCCCCTCGCGTGGCTCACACTCTTTGCCTCGCGGAGCTCTCCAAACGGAGACGCACAGAGCCTTCGACATGTCTTGGGACGCAGGAGAGGTTCTAGAAATCGGGGCCAAAGCGGAAGTCTCTGAAAGCTCCGGCCCGGCCTGGCCTGGAGATGGTCAAGGTCTGGTTGCATTTAGTATGGACGAGATTAGACGACAAAGCTGAATCGATGCAGCATGGAATCTCCGGCGGTGATTGGCCAGGGGGAGCTCATGGCAAATTTTAAAACTTCCGGAGCTCGAGCCTGCTTGGGCTTTTCAGAGAAGGTTTGCCAGGAGCGAAAGGATGAGCTGGGGGGTCGTCTTCGCACGTCTGTCGTCCTGTGAGGAAGATTTGAGAGGTGGCGCAGCTTTTCTGCAGCTTTTAACGGCTCAGAAAGGCCACCCGGACGAGCCCATCCAAAGATCCAAAGCGGAGCTTGGCCATGCGCCGGAGCGGTTTGGGTCTGTTTCTGTCCTTGGCCCTGGCCGGCGAGGCCTCGGCCTCCATCTCCAACTCGTCCTCGTCGAGCTCGAGGTCGTCCTGTTCGGGCTGCGACATTGAGGACTGGAACGACGAGGACTTCGCGCAGTGCAACTTCTGGGGTGACCCCCACATCACCTCCAGCTACGGCGATTTGGGCTCCTTCGACTTTCAGGGCCTGGGCCTGTGGAAGGCCTCCGTGTCCAGTGCCTGCGGATACAAATTCCAGGTCAACGCCTTTACGTGCCGATACACTCCACAGCTCTGGAGCAACAGCATCACGCGTTACCTGGCCATTCAGATCGGCGACAAGATCATCTACGTCAACAACACCAATGTAGGCAAGGGGATTCCCTGAAGCATCCGAAGCAGCACGAGCCCTGCGTGCAGGTGGCAGCGGTCTGGACATGGTAGATGATCCTTCTTTCAGCCTCCAAACTGCCGGCATCAACATTCAGAGCCCGGACAAGTGCTTCCGAATGAACGTGAACGTAAAGCCTCTGGATGGCGGCTCGCGTTCCGTGCTCTGTGCATCTCTGTGCAGGGGCAGTAGAGGGGAGTGCGCAAACTTGTGCAAATCAAGGCTGGTACCACAACGTGAAGCTCCGCGTGATCAAGCACGCGGTTGAAAAGGACCTGTCTGCTCTAATTACCCACGCTGTAATTCTAGCAGCCGACAAGCATGGTGCTCGTGCGACATGGCACCTTCTTCTTGGATGTACCAGTTGCGGGGTTAAGCCACTCACGGCACCTATCTTCTCATTGCGAGGATGGCATCTGTGGTGCATCCGACTTGCGCGATCAGCATCTCGGACCTCGGAAGAATCCCGGCCTCTCGAAAGCCTTTTTCTGCCATGCCGAGCGGTGCGAGCCACGGCTTTCAGGCTTGTCTACTACGATGATGCCGATGTGTTGTTCACGGAGGAGCAGCTGGCTGAGATGTGCAGTGCGTGCACGGAGCCAAATGCGCCGGCCCCACTCGGTTGTCCTGGCTCCGCCACGAGCAGCATCCCGGCAGAAAGGCTCTTTAGGCTTCTTACGCCTGTGTTTCTCCGACGCTCGAGTGCTCGAGCTCAGAGGTCCCGGCTGCGAGTTCATGAGCCAGTCCACCAACCTCAACAGCTTCGAGTGCACGAAGGACATGCTCCCACAAGACGGGGATGCTCCGGATGCAGACAACCTCACCAAGTACCTCGAGCTTACCAACGACGGCGAGTATTGCATGGCGTATGTCAAGACGAAGGGACCTGGTGCGAGCAGAGATTGCAACCAGTACTGCGAGGACATCGGCTCGAAGTGCGTGGCTGTGTGGGACCAGATTGCCCGCACGAGCTGCACGTTGGATCCGGTTGACATATTCGAGAAGCACGGAGCTACCTGCGACCATCGTGCAAAACTCAGCGACATGCTCTGTATTTGCGACAAGCCTTCTCCAGAAGACCCATTCCCGGGCCCTCCGCCGAAGCGCGTCTGCGGGGATCCTGACTCAGACTCCTTCAACGAGGCCAAGGACCTCTGCAAAGTTTGCCTTCCGAACGCCGAGTACACTGAGACGCCCGTGACCGAGCAAGACCAACGGCTCCGGTCTTGCATCGTAGACATCTGCTCCCTCCCAGACACTGCCACGCTGGATGACAAGAAGGCCATCTCCGAGAATGCCTGCGAGCAAGATCCGATTCTTCCGCCCTCCGGCCGGAAGCTCTGTTCATCTGGAGGGCCGCTTGGCTCTATGCGCTATGCGCTATGCCCCTCCGAGCCGAGGCGCCGAGGGGTCTCGGGGTCTCCCTTTGCGCCTAGGTTCTGTGAATCCATCTGTGGCGACGAACTCGTCTTCCCCTCCATCGGCGTCGGCGCCCCAAAGTTTTCTGAGTGACGGCCCGTCTGCTGCTGTAGCCGCTGTAGCTGCTGGAGGCTAGCGCCTGCCAGAGCCTCTGCAAGCCCCTCTTCGAGTCGAAGGTGGCCCCCGGGTTGCGGGGCTTCTGCGGATTCAAGGATTCCTGCCAGGGCCAGGAGTGCAGCCCCTCAGCCTGCAAGCATCTGCAAGCATCTGCAAGCATCTGCAAGCCGCAAGCAGAACTCAGACCCGTGCCATGCCGTGCCATCCCGCTTCTCACCGAGGCGACTCCAGTTACTACTGCCCTTTGCTGTGCCAGAGCCTCGAGTGCGACCAGAATGTTCAGGCCAAAAAGGGTCCGAAGGGTCCGAGTCCTGATCCGAAAAGCCTCGCTGCGCTGGCAGGATGGATGCTCTGGATGCCAGCAGAGATGTGCCACGGCTTTCGGCGATGTTGACGACATCCTCGAAGAGTACTGCGAAGACTGCTACTCCGTGCCTGTAGACGATTCTGATCCCTGCAAGCGATCCGGGTGCCTCGACAGCGAGGGGACTGTCAAGCTTTAATTCGGATCGCGGTTCCGCAGAAGGGCCCCGCAGCCAATCTGTGGTTTAAAGCATGGCTAAAGCATGCCTGTACTGTGCATGCCTAGCCGGCTTAGCCGGAGGTTGTGCGTACCTGCTCCCTCAATTTCTTCTTGCCTTCTTGCTTGCCGGATTGCTTGGTTGCAGTACATGCTTGCCTGCCTGTGTTCAGCACCCTTTACTGGCCACCTAGTGCCCTCGTTTACCACCGAATGACTTCCCGACTTACTTTCTTGCCACCGGGTATGGAGCTGATATATGCATATCGTAGCAATATGTATGTCTTTTCGCATGCACGATGTTCATTCCACGGTGGTCCGGAGATCATCAGGAGGCGTCTGAGAAGACCCGAAACCAGAGTCCTGCCAGAGGGTCCGGTCCTAGTAGGTTCTACAAGCTTCGTCAAAGTCTTGCTCTGGTCACTCGACTCTCAGGTTCTGCGCGGAGTACTGCAAGGGCGCCGTGAACGGCAACGATCCCCTCGTCTTCAAGAAACCGTCCGACTGCCTTGACGTCTGTAACAGCGACGCAGGCTACGACCGCATCATCAGCACCGTCGAATCCAAGTTCTGCCCAAATGACATTTCCAGAAAGGATGCAAATGGGATATGCAAGGGAGACCTTTGCAAGATTGGTGGCAAGCGGAGAGCGTGCTTCGGTCCGTGTGCCAACGCACTCTTAGACAGCACAGGCCTGGGTGGCTTCTTCCGGGAGTATTGCACTAAGTGCACAACCCCGCCCAGCACGACCACGACCACCCCGACCACGACCACGACCACCCCGACCACCACGACCACCCCGACCACCACGACGACCACAACCACG